TAGCAGGCTGATTTTAGGTTAATTCTTAGGTCCTACTATCACTTGGGAGCTCTGGTAGCATAGTGGCTAAGACACTTGCCTGCTAACCAGACGGCTGGCGGTTCAAACCCACCAGCCACTCCTCGGAAGGAAGGTTGGGCAATCCTACTTCTGTAGTGATACTGCCTCGGAAACCCAAGGAGGGGTCACTAGGAGTCAGGGCCGACTCGACGGCACATAACAACAACAACAACAACTATCACTTGGCAATATCCAAGCTGTCCATGCTCTCAGGATCACTGCTAGACCACAGTTCTGTATGTCTTCTTTTTTAGTGTTTACATGCAAGTTCTTCTGCTAGTTGGAATTTAGTCCACTTCTATATCCTTCCCTTCAAAGTTCAGGGGTCCAGGATTATCTTCTATATCTCTGTTAATTGGTTCCCCTTTCCTTTATTGAAGAGAATCTGTGCAGTCTTTCTGCCTTCTCCACTATCTGACTGGAACTCCCTTCCATCTATTTTTGATGCATCCTACATTATTCAAATTTTTACCCATAGAATCCTTCAGTATTGCAACTCAGAGCCTGAAATTTCTCTTCAGTTCTTTCAGCTTGAGAAATGATAATTATATTCTTGCCTTTTGTTTTTCTAACTCTTGTTCTTTGCATATTTTATCATAATACTGTACTTTGTCTTCTCAAGCCACCCTTTGAAATCTTCTGTTCAGCTTTTACTTCATCATATTTTCCATTTACTGCCACTTGGTAATTGGGAGGATGAGACAGGACTGGGCAGTGTTTCATTCTGTTGTACACAGGGGTTGCTTTGAGTTGGAAATGACTCAGTGGCACTTAACAACAATAATAATGTTATGTTGTTGTTGTTGTTTGCCATTGAGTCAGCCCCGACTCATAGTGACCCCTCCTTGGGTTTCCGAGGCAGTATCACTACGGAAGTAGGAATGCCCAGCCTTCCTTCCGATGAGTGGCTGGTGGGTTTGAACCACCAGCCTTCTGGTTAGCAGTCAAGTGCCTTAGGCACTATGCTACCAGAGCTCCTGATAATGTTATAGTATTCTTTTTTTCACATATTGCTGAATTTATTCTCCAATACAGTGCTAGGAATTTTTGTATCTACCATAGGGATATTAGTTTGCAGTTTTCTTGTGATACCTTGATTGGCTGTGGTATCAGGATAATTTTAGCCTCAAAAAAAGAGTTGGCAAATACTTCCTACTCTATGTTCTGAGATAGTTTGTGTAGTTCTGATACTATTTCTTCCTTAAAAGTTTGATAGACTACATGAGTGAATTCCAGAAGCCAAGTGGGTTTGGTGTTTTCTCTAAAGAGTTTTAATTAGGCATTGCATGGAAAATCAAATAAATTCCCACTTTTCTGACCCTGTACTGTATAGATCAGTTGCAATCTATTATCTGTTGTGTTCTTCTTTGTTCCACTTCTGTTCTGACACCAGGTGTACATACAAGACTTACTCCTCTAACCCTAACCTCCTAGAGCAAGGTCAGACCTCACAAGTTAAAGGGCACAGTCCTCCAGACTGTGAAGTCTGCCTGACACCTCGGAAATCAGCTTGAAGCTTAGCATTTCCACAACATCTCTTCTGACCTGCTGGCTCCAAATTCAGGGGTTCCTTGTATCCCTCTCAGGATACCAGCCATAAGATAAGGATGTACAAGTACCCCCTTACTTCATACCTCCTGGGTCCCACTACTTTCTGGGTTTGAAAATTCATTAGAACAGCTCAAGAACTCAAGAAAAGCACTATAGTTATGATCACAGTTTTATTATAGCAAAAAGGATACAAATGAAGAGATGCTTAGCGTAAGGTCTGAGAGGATCCCCAACACGGAATTTCTGTGTCCCTTTGGGACGTTTTACCCTCCCACAGGCATTGATGTCCTTAACCAGCCAGAAACCTACAGAGCTTCCCCATCCAGAGTTTTTATTGGGTCCTCATTACGTAGTCATTATGGATTGAGCCAGCCCACCTTCCCTGATATCATGAGGTGGTCTTTTTGGCCTGGGCACATATACATCCCCAAGTCACCTTGTAGCATAAGAAAGATTCCAGTCATTTGGGAAATTTCATGGATTTAGAGGTTAGCCTGAGGAAGCAAGAATGAAACCGAAAGGTAAACCCCACAGCCCCTTACAGTCTACTTTCAATTATTATTATACCTTTATACATAACATGGGAGCCTCTGGGTGGTAGAAATGCACTCAGCTGCTAACTGAAAGTTAACAGTTTGCGTCCACTCAGAAGTGCCTTGGAAGAAGGGCCTGGTGTGGTAGTTAAGTTGTGTGTCAACTTGGCTGGGCCTGGTTGAGTGGCTGGGCAGCTGGATGTAGTATTCCCTGTGGTGAGATTGGCAATCAGTTCCATGGTGGAATCTACTAGAGCAGCTGAGTAGCTGCTTTTGGGATGTGGTCTGCTTCTAGTACATAAGAAGCAGCTTTGAGGAAATTCTTGAGGTTTTTGGCATGCTTGAACCCTGCATGTAGCCATGTCATCATTCAGCAGCCCGCCATGCCCTGCTAATCTTGGGACTTCTGGGCTTGAATTAGTGGCCTGCCGTGTTGTTTGGTAACATTGGGACTGTACTTTTGCACTTACTGACCTTGGGTTTGTCAACCTCAGCAGTTGTTGGAGTGAAGTAAAGCTTCCAGCTTCAGTGGGCCAGGAGCAACAGGCAGAGCTGAAGCCCAAGGTCAAGGGGCTTTCACCCAGCCCCTAGAGCTTGGCACTTTGAACTTGGACTTAAAACCTCCAAACTGTAAGAGAGTAAACTCCTATTTGTGAAAGCCATCCCATTTGTGTTATATTCCTGTCAGAGCGGCACTTCTTGTTGTTTGGTGCCATTGAGTCATCTCCGACTCATAGTGACCTTATGCCCAACAGAATGAAACACTGCGCGGGCTTGTGCCCACCTCACAATCCTTATACCTGAGCCCATCATTGCAGCCATTGTATCTGTCCATCTTGTTGAGGGCCCTCCCCTTTTCGTGGACCCTCCACTTTACCAAGCATGATATCCTTCTCCATTGAATGGTTCCTTCTGATAACATGACCAAAATAGGTGAGACAAAGTCTGGCCATTCTTGCTTCCAAGGAGCATTCTGGTTGCACTTCTTCCAGGATAGATTTGTTAGTTCTTTTACCAGTCCATGGCACTCTCAGTATTCTTTGCTAATATAACTCAGAAGCATCAACTCTTCTTCGTTCTACCCAGTCTACCATATTCATTGTGTAGCTCTCACATGCATAAGAGGTGATTGAAAATACTGTGGTTTGAGTTAGGTGCACTTTAGTCTTCCAGGAGACATCTTTGCTCTTCAGTACCTGAAAGAGGTCTTTTACAGCAGATTTGCCCAATGCAGTATATCATTCGATGTCTTGACTGCTGCTTCCATTGGTGTTGATTGTGTTGTTGTTGTTATGTGCCATCGAGTCGGACCCGACTCATAGCGACCCCTCCTTGAGTTTTCAAGGCGGTATCACTATGGAAGTAGATTGCCCAACCTTCCTTCCAAGGAGTGTCTGGTGGTTTTGAACTGCCAGCCTTCTGGTTAGCAGTCAAGTGCCTTAGGCACTATGCTACCAGAGCTCCTGATGTTGATTGTAGCACCAAGTAATATGAAATCCTTGACAATTTCAATCTTTTCTCCATCCACCATGAAGCTGTTTATTGGACCAGTTATGAGGATTTTTGTTTTCTTTATACTGAGGTGTAATCCATACTGCAGACTGTAGTCTCTAATCTTCATCAATAAGTGCTTCAAGTCATCCTCACTTTAAGCAAGCAAAGTTGTGTCATCTGCATATCGCAGGTTGTTATGAGTCTTCCTCCAATCCTGAGCTATGTTCTTCCTCATATAATCCAGCTTCTCGGATTATTTGCTCAGCATACAGATTGAATAAGGATGGTCAAAAGATATAACCCTGGTACATTCCCTTGCTGATTTTAAACAGTTTCCCTTTGTTCTGTTTGAAGGACAGCCTCCTGATCTATGTGCAGGTTTCTCATGAGTACATTTAAGTGTTCTGGAGTTCCCATTCATGGCTGAAAGCAAATAATACCAGAAAGATGTTTACTTACGTTTTATTGATTATGCAAAAGCATTCGATTGGGTGGGTCATAACAAGTTATGGATAACCTTGAGAAAAATGGAAATTCCAGAGCAGCACTACTAGGTAACCCAAACACCTGGCAGGCTACATCAGAAAAATCACTCATTGAAAACCCTATGGAGCATGGTTATACTTTTACACATGAGGCATCACCATGAGTCAGAATTGACTCAACAGCAACTAGTCACATATATGAACTTTACAACAGTTTATTTTCTTTTGTCCCATTCTTTGTGCCATTATTGCCATATATTTTACTTCTACGTATATTATAAATATTTTAATACTGTTTTTACTTTAACCCATCAAATAACTTTTGCAAATTTAGGAGTCTTTTTTAAGTACTTTATTCTTTATGCTCTCCTAGACTATCTTAGGTGTCCTGCCCGGCACACTCTGTTCTTAGCTGCTATCATGGCTCTTATTTCTTGAAGTACCCGTTTGTCAGTCTTTTTCACCCCCTTCCCCGACTCCAACTGTTATGTCAAGGACAAGGATTGTTCTTGTTTACTAATTTATCCCTTCCTGGCACACAGGGGTTGCTCACTCATTTCGTGAGTGAATAAGTGAGTGTAGAGAATAATTTATAGCACGAAATACACATGGCTCAGCATAGTAGGCTTCTCCTTAGTTGATTTTAACATTGACCTTAACACATAGATTAAATGAATAATGTTATAGCAACTTTTGGTTAACTTTAATAACTAGTTTATTGTCTCATTTTGCCATGACTTTTTAGAGACAGTAGGTAATATCTTGTTATATTAAAGTACCTTACTTTAAGTTATATTCTTGAGATCTTAAATTCATACTAGAGTATACATAAATATATATATTATTAACATAAAATGGACTTTCTTTTTCCAAACAGTTAAGTCGTTCAGTTGTTCCGGGCCCGTGAAGTTTACCATAGAATGGCATTTGAAATATCATATCTGTCACAATGAACATCGTGACCTAGAAGTAAGTAAATCACAAATCTTTAATATATGTAAAGATATGAAAGAAATATTATGGCATAAAAATGTGTTAGCTAATTAGGTGATGACGATGACACACTGCTGTCAAGTCAGATCCAACTCATTGCGACCCCTCCTTTGGTTCCCGAGGCAGTATCACTGTGGAAGTAGATTGCCCAACCTTCCTTCCGAGGAGTGGCTGGTGGATTTGGACCACCAGCCTTCTGGTTAGCAGTCAAGTGCCTTAGGGACTATGCCACCGGGGCTCCCTCATTAGGTGAGGAGGCCTGAAATTGAGGTTGGTTTTTAGAAATTCCACTGATTTATTTTTGGACTTAAGGCAGTAAATCCAAACATATGCTTTCTCAGAATACTAACCCTTTAGTTTCCTCATTAGTATCTTATGAAAATTGTTAAAACCCATTGTCGTCAAGTCGTATCTGACTCACGGCGACCCCTCCTTGGGTTTCCGAGGTGGTATCACTAAAGAAGTAGATTGCTCAACCTTCCTTCCGAGGAATAGCTGGTGGGTTCGAACCACCAGCCTTCTGGTTAGTAGTCAAATGCCTTAGGCACTGCGCTACCAGAGTTCCTATGAAAAATGTTAGTGAATATTTAAATGAAACATCTAGGAGGCGTTTATAAAAGGGCTGTGCTGCTGTTGTTAGGTGCAATCGAGTCTGCTCCAACTCATAATGACCATGTGTACAACAAGGTGAAACATTGCATGATCCTGTGTCATCCTCAGAACCATCTCTGACCTTTGTTAGTTAAGTGCTTCAAGTCCACTTTTACTTTCAGGAAGCAAGGTTTTGCTTTCTGCTTACCATAGGTTGTTGATGAGTCTTCCTCTAAACCTGATGCTATGTTTTTCGTAATAGTCTGGCTTCTTAGATTATTTGTTCAGCATGCACATCGAATAAGTAAAGTGAAATGATATAAACTTGCTACACACCTTTTCCAATTCTGACCCACACATATCCCCTTATTCAGTTTGAAGGACTGCCTCTCAATATGTATACAGATTCCACATGGGTACAATTCAGTGTCCTGGAATTACCATTCTCTGAAGTGTTACCCATAATTTGTTATCCACATAATTGAATGCCTTCCTGTACTCGACACAACACAGATAAACACCTTTCTGGTATTCCCTGCTTTTGGCCAAGATTTGTCTGACGTCAGCAATGATGTTCCTGGCTTTTGAATCCAGCTTGAAGTTCTGGCAGTTCCCTGTTGATGTATAGCTACAGCCATTTTTTGAATTATCTTCACAGTTTTGCTAGAATGCATATTATTGATGTTGTTCAGTAATTTCTACATTCTATTTGATTTTTTTTTTGAATGAGCACAAATATGGATCTTTTCTAGCTTTTGGCCATATAGCAGTGTTCAAAATTTCTTAGCATAGACAAAAGAAAGTGTTGACAGTTGTTATATCTGTTTGTTGAAGCACCTCAATTGTTACTCCATTGATTCCTAAGGCCTTAATTTTCTTTGATGCCTTAGTGTAGTGTAAACTTCCTTCAGTGGCATTTGTTCTTGATCATATGCTACTTCCTGAAATGGTTGAACATTGACTGTTTTCCTACAGGGAATCTATATTCCTTCTAGCTTCTTCTTTTTTTTTTTTTTTTTAATACATTTTATTGAAATATAATTTATGTACAGTGAAATACACAAAACTAAAGTGACATAAGTCAGTGCTTTTTTTTGGGGGGGGCAGTCTTCCCTCCTGTTCCCTCCCACCCGTGGTAACCAACAAAGAAAGTTTCCTTCCATATATAAACCTTTCCTTGACTTTTTACAATAATGAACTAATACTATATTTGTCTTTCTGTGATTGACTTATTTCACTCAGCATAATATCCTCTAATTTCATCCATGTTATGCGGTGTTTTGCAGATTCTATGTTATTCTTCAGTGTTGCATAGTATTGCATTGTGTGTGTGTACCATAGTTTGGTTATCCATTCTTCTGTTGATGGACATGTAGATTGTTTCCATCTTTTTTGCTATTGTAAATAGTGCTACAGTGAACATGGGTGTGCATAGATCTGTTCTTGTCTTGGCTCTCACTTTTTTTTTTTTTTAATTGTGATTTGGGTGAAAGTTTACAGAACAAATTCACTTTCCATACAGCAGTTCACATACACTTTGTCTCATGACATTGACTACAATTTACCCCAATGCAACAGCTCCTCTTCCATTTCCTCCCCATAGTTACCTCTTCCCTGTGTCCATGCCTCCATGCACTCCATGCATTCCTGCCCCCTGTGTCTCCTGCTGTCTTCCTGTGCATAAACAGCCCTTCTTTCTCCCATGATTGTTCTAGTGTGTCTACCTTAAGTAAATGTTCAACTCATATGCCTGTCTTTTGTTTGGCTGGAAGCCATAAGTGTGGGTTCAATTCCAGACCTGAAGGGTACCTAGTGGCCATAGTCTCAGTGGTTCCACCAGGCTCTATCAGACAAGCAAAACTAGTCCCCTTTTTTTTTTTCTTCCAAATGATTTGAAATTTGAAAATTTCCTTCCCTATAGAAACCTTTCCTTGAGTTTTACAATAATGAACTAATACAGTATTTGTCCTTCTGTGATTGACTTATTTCACTCAGCATAATGTCCTTCAAGTACATCCTTGTTATGCGATGTTTTGCAGATTCTACATTATTCTTTAGGGTTGTATAGTATTCCATTGTGTCTTATGTACCATAGTCTGGTTATCCATTCCTCAGTTGGCGGACATCTAGGTTGTTTCCATCTTTTGGCTACTATAAATAGTGCTGTGATGAACATGGGTGTGCAAATGTCTGTTCTTGTCATGGCTCTCACTTCTTTACGATATATACCTAGTAATGGAATGGCTGGGTCAAATGGTATTTCTAATTCCAACTTTTTAAGGAATCTCCATACTGCTTTCCACAGTGGTTGTACCATTTTACAGTGCTACCACTGTCTTGTTGAACTTTGCTACTAGTGCTCGAGCAAGATGGTATCTCGTTGTTTTTATTTGTATCTGTCTAATGGCTAATGAAGAGCTCTGGTGGCATTGTGCCTAAGACACTTGACAGCTAACCAGAAGGCTGGCGGTTCGAACCCACCAGCCACTCCTCGGAAGGAAGGTTGGGCAATCTACTTCCATAGTGATACCACCTCAGAAACCCAAGGAGGGGTCACTCTGAGTCGGGTCCAACTCCACGGCAAATAACAATGGCTGGTGATCGTGAGCTAATCTTCAAATGTTTGTTGGCCGCCTGAATATCCTCCTTGGTGAAGTGTCTGTTCATGTCTTCTGCCCATTTTTTAATTGGATTATTTGTCTTTTTGTTATTGAGGTGTTGGAGTTTTCTATAAATTCTAGAGATAAGTCCCTTGTCAGATATGTCATGGCCAAATATTTTTTCCCAATCCTTAGTTTCTCTTTTGGAGAAGTCTTTGGAAGCGCGTCAAAATTTAATTTTTAGAAGGTCCCATTAATCTAGTTTCTTTTCTGCTGTTTGTGCATTTTGGGTTATGGTTGATAGTCTATTTATGCCCCTAAATTATTTAGTGTCCCTAAATTTGCACCTAATTTTTCCTTGAGGAACTCTATAGTTTTAGGTTTCACATGTAAGTCCTTGATCCATCTGGAGTTAGTTTTCGTGTATGGTGTGAGGTACAGATCTTATTTCATTTTTCTGCAAATGGATATCCAGTTTTCCCAGCACCATTTATTAAACAAACATTCTCTTCCCCATTTAATAGATTAGGCCCTTTGTCAAAGATCAGCTGACCAAAGGTCAGTGGATCTATTTCTCAGATCCATTCCATTGATCTATTTGTCTATTGTTGCACCAATACCAGGCAGTTTTGACTACTGTGGGTGTATAATAGGTTTTGAGATCCGGCAGTGTGATACCTCCTGCTTTTTTGTTCTACTTTGGTAGTGCTTTGTTTATCTGTGGTCTCTTTCCTTTCCATATAAAGTTAGTGATTGGTTTCTCCATATCCTTAAAAAAAAATGTTGAAAGGATCTGGATTGGGATTGCATTGAATGTATAGATTGCTTTGGGTAGAATGGACGTTTTCACGATACTCAATCTTCCTATTCACAAGCATGGTATGTTCTTCCATTTATGTAGATCTCTTACGGTTTCTTGAAGTAGTTTTTTATAGTTTTCTTTGTACAAGTCTTTTGTGTCCCTGGTAAGATTTATTCCTAAGTATTTTATTTTTTTTGGTAGCTTCTGTAAATGGTATTGATTTCCTTATTTCTTCTTCAGCAGTCTCTTTGCTAGTGTAGAGGAATCCAACTGATTTTTGGATGTTGATCTTGTATCCTGCCACAATGCTAAATCTCTCAATTAGTTCCAGTAGATTATTGACTGAGTCTTTTGGGTTTTCTAGGTGTAGGATCATATCATCAGACATTAGGGATAGTTTGACTTCTTCCTTACCAATATGGATGCCTTTGATTTCCCTGTCTTGCCTTATTGTTCTGGCTGGGACTTACAATACAATGTTGAATAGAAGTGATGATAGAGGGCATCCTTGTCTAGTTCCTGTTTGCAAGGGGAATGGTTTCAGTCTCTCTCCATTAAGAATGATGTTGGCTGTTGGTTTTGCATAGATGCCCTTTATTATGTTGAGGAATGTCCTTTCTATTCCTATTTTCCTGAGAGTGTTGTTCAGGAATGGGTGTTGGATTTTATCAAATGCCTTTTCTGCATCGATTGATATGATCCTGTGGTTCTTTTCCTTTGTTTTATTTATGTATTGGATGATGTTGATTATTTTTCTAATGTTGAACCATCCTTGTATACCTGATATGAACTCCACTTGGTCGTAATTTATTATTTTTTCAATATGTTGTTGGAGTCTATTGGCTAGGATTTTGTTGAAGAGTTTTGCGTCTATATTCATGAGGGATATCAGTCTATAGTTTTCCTTTTTAATGATGTCTTTGCTTGGTTCTTGTATCAAGGTTATGCTTGCTTCATAAAATGAATTTGGGAGGATTCCATCC